TTGTTATGCCAACAATTTCGACCTGAAAGACAGAATTGTTGTCATATATTTTAAATCTAAAATTTATTTAAACCATTTGGATATGTATTACTACTGAAGTAGCCCGTTCTTGTCAAGTTAACTTGAATATATTTATAATTCGTTTCAATAATATTCAGGATTTTAGCTGATACTTAAACCATGTTGTTGAGTGTCTTTACTACAAAAGCAGAAAATTTTTCCACATGTAAATATAGATAAATTTAAATAAGGAATCATTAGATAATTATTAAGATAATTGTTCTAAGAAGCTTATAGAGTTGTGAAACTTTCTAAACTCTTTGAGGTTCAGTCCGTATGTTTCTTGAGATCCTCCAAATCCATAACCACCTCTACACAAATTCTTTAAGCTGCGTACCCTTACTACGCTTACTTTTGGTGTGATACCGTCGGAATGGTTCGCATCTACACGGACTATTACATTATACTGTTAGTTGCATGTTGCAGTTAGAGAAAATGTTGCAAATTCTCTTCTTTTTATAAAATTTGAACAAAATTTATATATTTTAGTGAGAAGGTTAGTTAAATCGTTTAAATAACCACAGAATATTTAAAATATTTCGAAGAAAGAAAAAATAATGAATTTTGACAAAAAATCTTTGAGATCCATATAAAAATGATGTTTTTGTTGCGGTTTTTATAGAACGGAAACTAACCTGCCAAAATATTGAAAAATAAGCCAATATTTTTTAAATTAAATAAAGAAAGTCCACACTTTCAAATTATACGATGGTCAGCTCTAATTACACTTGTTAAACTAAGAGGATGCATTCAGAGCGATGCTCAAAGGCAGCACGACGCTAACAATCGTCAACCGAAGGCATACTTGAGTTGTCACGTGAAAGATCTTTAGCGTCCATTTATTTTGAACATTGAAAGTAAAAGACTTTGTTGCTTTACTGGCTTATAACCACAGGCACGATACTTAAAGCTGAAGTAAAAATAATATTTGCTCTCCGCTATTGGCGCTTTTCCATTTTTGGCTAATTGCATTCGTTTGTTAATTTGTTTCGTCTTTCAGCTACCGTCTCAGTAAATATTGTTTTTCTTGCTATTTCATCAATTAAAATATTGTCCACTTATTACAAGTACTTGATTTGTATTTGCTTATGGCACAAGACCGAAGAAAATTGACGTGACGGCTGAAGTGTCATACTCGCTAATGTGCACCATTGTGATACAGTTCAATGTCAAACCCACAATGAAATCTAGATCAATGTTAAGTGCAAGCCAAGTACCAAGTAATGAATGGAGAAGCAAAAGTTGAATTTGATTTTTGTTTTGTTAAACTCAAGGAGCCTCAGGAACTTGTTGTGGTAAAGGTAAAGGCGTGGAATTTTACACTATGTGAGGTGCACATATCGTTAATAATCGTTTCGCTTATCATAAGGAAATATTATTTTTTAGAAGCGCCACGATTGTGACCGATTTAAAGCCAAAGACGCAATGAATTGTTCCACAAACCGAAACTGTCGCTCCATAGAACTATTTTTAGTCGATTGAAGAGATAAACAAATTTTTCTAAAGGAGCTGAAGGCCATCCCATTGGAAAAATCGCTCTCATAAACATAATTTAAAGATAATTATGAATATAATACTAAATAAACTAACTGAATATTCAGTCACATATTTCCGCTCATTGAATTTAATAACTTCTTTCATAATTAACCATCTCAAAGCTATTCGTTAAGAATAAAATTGAAAATTCTTCTTATAAATATTTCACACCATCGTATGTCCAATCAGTTGACGTGATTTGCATTTTCTTCTTCTTATAATTACACATTCTACTTGGTATTTCTGCGAAAAGGGTTGAAATTCTTTCAGTTTTACTTTCGAACTCCAGCCAGTATGTTAATCGTGAAATATTCAATTCTTGCGGTCATAGCCGTGTTTGTCTTGCGAGGAGCATCAAAACCCTCTATTCTAGAACCACAATGGCATCTTAGGCCACACCATCATGGTCGGACACTCGAAGAAACCCTCAAGCAATACTTCGAAGAGAAAACAAATGTATTACATGTGCGAGTTCAATTGAAAAGGGCCATATTTTGAAAGTATGTGATTCTACATCATCTAACAGATGCGTTACGAAATTCGACTAAACTAACTTTTCGCATAACCATTGGCGATAAATATCTACGCAATAATAAAGATTGTCTGCATAATTTGTGGTATGTGGACTCATTTCAGGCATTGGAGTAAGTTGACACATTTTTAGAAAGTAGTGTATTTATGAACACATCAATCAATCACGATAGATTAATGAGATATTACATTATTTATAAAAATTATCCAAGTTCGAGTGTTTAATGAACAATACAGTGTAGATTAAAAGTTTGACTTATTCTCCTACATATTAGGTTACAACATTCGAATATTATTAACATCAAGAGGTTTTTGTTCTTCAGCTCAGGAATTTTATTCCGTTTTTCTAACTGAATCTATCCTCTGAAAAGTATTTATCGCGTCTGTTGTAGTTTTCCATGATATCTATTAGGAAAGTATTCCTAATCATAGAAGATTTCTAGAAGACAACGCTTTGCTGATAACTGCCGACTACACGTTAATTGATTGTAAGCTCTCATATTCGGTTGGCACTCCGATCATGTGTCTTAAAATTTGTGTAAACGGTTTTTTTTCATTTATCAAAACTAAAAAAATTACTGATCTAGAGCTCGTGGCAGAGGACCCTCGAACTAAGCGCCTAGAACTATATTTATGCGATTCGTTTTCAAAATTTAAACGATTGTTTAAAGAAAACATATAAGCCATAACATCTTCCCCAACTTTTAGAAATTTTTGAATTTTCTCCCAAATTATTTGGTAACCAGTAATGAATCAGTTATATTTTTGATAGTCCATATTGATGCAGTCGTATTCCAGTAAGGCCGTTCTGCATCGACCTGAACAAATGCTAATTACGATCGAAGGAGCGGCATTATAATGTGGATTAAGTATAGCTTCCCAGCCGCTATCAAATAGTTTAACCGAACTTGCAACATTATTGCCTCGTGCCTGCAAACCCTTCTCATCACATAAAATACATTACCATGGCGTCAGGGTTATTTGGCTTTGGCATTGATTTGAGTGGTTAGCCATGCTTCACATAATATGCAGAGACGAATCCTTTTTGTAGCGTTTAAGCAATATTTCTGACATGGAAAATCGCCAAGCGGCTTTGGCTTCAGCTCATAAGGCATCAATTTTCCTTGCTTTGGAATGTATCAGGCTGTTTTAAACCTTTGAAATAACGGCTTGAATGACTCCTAACTAAGACTTTGCGAGCTCTAGAAATTTGTGAACTTTACGGAGACGAAGCTGTATCAGTTCTTGTAGCGCAACAACGGTTCGCTCGCTTCTGTTCTGGCTATTTCGATGTGAAAGATGCACCTCGCTCTGGTCGACCTACAGTTGAAGAAGTCGATGAAATTATTAAAAAATTGACTAGATCCGTCACATAAGCAACCGTGACATCGCTAAAAAACTTAATATTAATCATCAAACGGTTTTAAACCATTTTAAAAAGGCTAACTACAAAAAGAAAATCGATGTTTGGGTACCACATGAATTTTCTGTGGGAAATTTAATGGACCGAATTAACATCTGCGATTCTTTGCTGAAACGAAATGAAATCGAATCACTTCTGAAGCGAATGGTAACAGGAGACGAAAGGTGGATCAAATACGACAATAATGTGCGAAAAGATCACGGACGAAGCATGGCGAAGCTCAACAAATGGTCGTAAAGCCAGGATTGACGCCTCGAAAGGTTATGCTGAGTGTTTGTTGGGATTGGAAAGGAATCATCTACTATGAGTCGATTCAGCCTTGTCGAACGATTGATTCTACACTTTGCTGTCAACAACTGATGAGATTGAAGCAAGCACTCAAAAAACAAAAAAAAACGGCCAGAACTGATCAACAGAAAAGGCTACGTCTTCGATGAGGACAACGTTAGACCGCAAACATCTTTGATGACTCTGCAAAAACTGGGAGAGTTTGGCTGGAAAGTTTTAATACATCCACCACATAACCCTGACTTTGCACCATCGGACTACCATTTGTTTCGGTCAATGCAGAACTCCCTTAATGGCTTAATGGAGTAAAGTTATCTTCAAAAGAGGCCTGTAAAAATTACTTGTCGCAGTTTTTCGCTGAGAAACCAGTAAAGTTTTACTCTGATGGAATAATGTGTCTAGCGGATAATGGCAAAAAGTGATCGAACAAAATGGTACAATTCATTATAAATATAAAAATTCATTATAAATATAAAAAATAAATGGAAGTTTGATTAGAGATACGAAAAGACTTTTTTCGACTACCCTATATATGTTCCTGTTAACCCTGCAAGGTCACAATGTTCCAGTTTCCAAATCTTATCCATATTTTCATTGCAAAGGTCGTCTCCAGGCCGACATGTAGATCACAGAACTTCTCTGTGTCAGTGGAAGAACTTACTCGCTAGCGTTAAGCGATTAGCGGGATGGCCAAGAATTTACTGGCAATGGATGCGGTTTTCTTACTTATATCCCGACATACTATACAAGTACATGTAACATGATATTATGAATAGGTCGAATAGATCTAAAGTTAAACCTCACAATTAATTCTGAAATAAAGAAAGTTTTTAGATCAAAAAGGGGTTCTAGGTTCTATTAGGATTATCATGTACTTGTGACTTTTGAACCATTCGACGTTATTACTTGTGAAAAAATAGAATTTGTGCACCAATGCTTAAGTTAATTTCTGTAATTATTGTTATTAATTATTAATTATTGCCCGTCCATTCTTCTCTTCTTGCTCAGCAACATTTTGCCGTACAAAAAGGAGCATTTCAGCAGCAACGCAGGCTACTATGCCATTATCTTAGAGCAAATCAATGAAAAGAATGCCGCCTGGCATATAAAAAAGATTCTAGAAAAAATGTTTTCTCTCAACATTATAAATGTAATCATTATAATGCCGAACACTGAAGCGAAAGGCTATGCAGTGTACTCATTCGAAGTGTTCAGTAAAGAGCACTGTCGCATTGTAAAGCCGATACTTGTAAATCGTTTTATAAATGGACGTTTCATTAACACCGAACTCTTTCCGAATAAATTGACGAACTTTCATAATTGCAGCCTACGTGTGTTATCGCGTAATGTGCCGCCATTTTTCACATACCATAATGATACTAATAGCGGTACGCTAATAATGAAAGGTGTTGAGGCGAAATTATTGAACGCCCTTGCCGAGCATTTGAATTTTCGCATAGAACCGATTATAAGTCCTGCCCATGATTGCGGTGATGTTTATCCCAACGGTACAATGACGGGTCCCTACTATCTACTGGATCAAAATCATGTTGATGTGCTTATGGGTTACTTCTTCTATGCTGCACATCGCATTAACTTCTTGGAGGAGGGTCTATCGTATTTCACCACCGCTTTGGTTGTTATTGTTAAGCGACATCCACCGCCGCCCGACCTCATGTGGTTGCTGGATCCCTTTCAGTTGAATACTTGGCTGGCGCTGCTGCTGATGATTGCCACCGTCATATTATTTATGTGCATCTTACACTTGCGTTATCAATACGGCAATTGGTTGGACATAATTGGCAGCATTTTCGGCGAACCTCGTGCAGTTTTAACCAGAAATTACTTAGTACGCTTCGGGATTACTTTCTGGTACGTCGGTTTTGTATTTATCAGCAGCACATATCAGGCAAAATTGTTCGTTTCGTACAATCGCCCATCACCAGGCTTGCCACACACCATAAACGATTTACAGCGCAATAATTATACATTTTTGATACACAACACAATGAATCTGACATATTGGCTGCCTGACATGCGTATACCCAAAAACCGCATAAAAGGACTTAACTCTTCAGATGTGAGTTCGGTCTTTGAGGAGCTTTTGAATTCGACTGGCAATGTGGCAACACTGGCGACTATTGCACGTATGCATTACTTTGAACGCAAGCGCCAGATAATTGGCGTTTTCGATCAGGTTCCCGAAACGGTGCAACTGCCGGAGATTTGTGCTTACTTTCAGCATCATTCGTACCTTGTAAAGCCTTTCAACAACGTCATTGCGATGGTACGCAGTAGTGGCTTAATTTCACGTTGGTATGGCAATGCTCTAACGGATTCCAATGGACCGTTGAAAATACAGCGTGGTGGTAATTCCAAAAGTTTGGATTTGGAAAAATTTGGCATTGTTTTCTATTTACTTTTTGGCGGTGAACTTATTGCTTTTATTGTATTTTTCTTAGAAATAATAATTGCACGTTATAAGAAGTAAATATATATAATAAATGTTACGTAAATATGTATGCAACTCATGTACCATTGGTGCAATGCATAAATAAATATATAAATGTTTTCGCTTGTCTATATACTTTTTCGTTTTCTTTATTAAGATTCCTAATTAAATAACTTGTATACTTGTGGCTTAGTCTTCAAAGATCGCTTATGCCGACTGGGTAGAAAACGGAGGGTTCGTCACTCGGCTAAAATGAATCACAAGCGATCTCAGTAGCCAGTACACATGCCCACAAACTTTTTTTATTCTATTATTTTTATAAATTTTATCTACGACCCGTTACTTAAAATTTGAATTGTTCGTGTTGCCGTTGAGATTTTTTTTTTTACAAAATTTGCCTTTCAAGAGCGATACATCAACTTTAGGGATTTTCTTTCGGTGCCATTTTTGCAATACGATTATTATTTTGTTTTCAAATTGGTCTCAGTCACGGCAATTACATCTTCAATGTGGTTCAATTTATTTCCAGCGAGCATTCTTTCCGAAGTTCTGTCCAAAGCGATAAATTGCAATCTTTGCAATTTTGGCATCAATACCATTAATTTATGCCTCATTTCTAAACGAAACAACACTTTATTCTCTTTCAAATAGAAACGTTTTTTCAATATCTTCCTTCAAAAAGATCTTTAAAAGTCGGCCTTCTTAGATTTGACCTTTCCAAAGTAGTCAATGAAAAAGTCCTTTCAATTTTTGGATACCGTTTGTTAATTTGATTGGACTGAAACTTCAAATGCCAGATGTATCGGCATGAAATGAGAGTTTTTTGTGAAAATTAAATGATAATTTTGAATGGAAAAGTTAAAAAAAATGTTAAAAGCAATGACGATTTACACATTTCCACCATATTTCTCTCAATTCGTGCACACTATGCCAAAAGAAATGATCGTCTTTTGTAGCAAACTAATCAGACAAGCAAATGGTAATCGGAAGGTTTCAAGTCTGTTAAATACGGCGGGTGCGGTAGCAGTTCCCAGCCAAGTCCTTTGACTGTACTCTGACCCGAATTTGCTCTGTGTGCAGTTTCATTGTGTTGTAACAAAATTAGTTTGCCGTGTCTTCAGGGTAATTATGGTCATTTCGATCAATGCTTGGCTCAAGTTGATCATTTGTTGTTCTACAGCGATTAGTATTAACAGTTTCACCACATTTTAGAAACTCATGATATACCACACCCTTCTGATCCCACCAAACACAGAGCATTGCCTTCTTATCGAATCGATCTGTTTTTGCAGTTGATGTTGATGATTGTCTCGGATTAACCCATCTTCTCTGTTTAGGTTTCTCACAATAAATCCATTTTTGATAGCCTGTGATAGTTCGGGTGCATAACTCATTTTCTTTCGTATCTTTGAAGCAAAATTTAACATTTTCTTTTCGGTTTCCCATTTGTATGTCACTCAATTCTTGTGGCAGCCATTTTCTATACTTTTACTTATTGCTTTTGTCTCTTTCTACATTGCTTGCAATTCGGCGTCGTCAAACTTTTATGATGGCCTTCCACGTTCTTCATTTCTCACATCAAAATCATTATATCTGAACCGTTGAATCCATCTTTTGCATTTTGCTTCTAATTGAGCAAGATCGTTCTATGCCTCGACAAGCATTCGATGCGACTCTTCAGCACTGTTCTTCGAATGGAAAGAAAGAATTAATGCTTTCCGCAAATCATTACTTTTCGGTACAAAATTTTCAACACAACGAAAGAATAAAAAAACACAAAAAATAAGGCTCGTTCTCAACAAATGATCACTACCAACAAATTTGTATCGCTCACAAGTTCCGCTAGAGAATTACGACACTAGAAAGAGCTCATTGACTTAAACTCTCTCTGAAGTTCTCAAAGCCTTCTAGCCCCTGTCTACATTTTAATCCGGAGCCAGTGTAAAGTTGCTAAAAGATGAAAAAAAATCGAAATTGAAGAATATTAAGAGTTAATTTCAATATGGCGGCAAAATGCTTTTGAAACAGTCATTTTCCAATTGACGATTTTCCGATGGGAAAATGAAACTACATTGTTTTAAATGTAATATTCAGCAGCATCTCAACATGCTTTTATTAAAAAACAAACGCATCAAAAATAATATTACATATGTGTATACATATTTTATATATACATATAAATATATATATATAACTATAGAGGTTAAAAACGTGATCGAACACAGTTGATTTCTTGTTTTACTGGTAACCCAGGGTTTTCTCTCTTTTCAGCGGTGTATTTACTAAGTCTTCGAAAAATTCAACACTTTAAGTTGAAAAATATGCTTTTAGGTACTCAAATCTAGCTTTCAAATGTTCGCTTTACAATTTAACTGTTATGACTTTTTAGCGCCGATATTTACTTATTTAACAGATAGTTATGTATTATGTACTATTAGTCTCATGTACGCATACATACAGTACCTATGGTAATCATCAAATTTGACTCGGACTTGTCCGTTTAAACTGAGCGCGCACAAGCCGAAATGATAATTTTCCTTCATCTGTATTAAATATCATGAAGCCATCGAGAACTTGCCATGTGCGAGTCGTCCATCCACCTCTGTTAATGACGTTAACATCGAAAATTTAAGAAAGCAGTGCTTGAAAGTCGTTGTGTTTTCAACAAAGAGAGAGCGCAAAGGATCTCAACATATAATATCTTGCGCTATGGTCGCATAAGAGGTGCTGGACAAAGTAGCTGAGCATCTGACACTTATAAAACTCATCATTACTAGTGATTGGTTCACACACGTGTGTTCAAGAATATGACGTCGAAACTGTCTATCAGTTAAGCAAATGGCGCTCCAAAAATGAACGCCGTAAAAACTACAATTCGCTGAAGGCACTGAAGGACATCCCAGCCGAGGCTTACAGTAAGTGTTTTGAAATTTAGATTAAAAGTTGGCAGCTTGTATTTACTCAAGAGCCTGTTTTGAATAAATAATAGAGATTTGTTTTGAAATAGTTTTTTTATCAGCTCGGGTCAAATTTGATGAGATAGTATATGCAAGTGAGGCACAGTTGATATTTACGAATTCACCTTGTTGTGATTATATTGTTGAGTATGAATTAATTCACTTAAATGTTTAATGCAATTACGTCTAGTTTAAAACTAACGAACTAACTCATAACTACGCCAGTAAAACAGAAGAATATTCATAACTACAACGCGTTTTGCAGCTGCTAACCATTCTCAGTCCCTTCAAAGCTGGTTAAGGGATTTAATCTTAACAGTTTATGTTTTAACTAATGAACAGGGTATCGAATTTCTCCATTTCGGACATTATTCAACATGAACTTGAATGTATAAAGTATTACTACTGGTATTTTGACACAAAATGTCGACCAATGTTCGGAATCACTACTTTCCTAAAAAATAATGCCAAATATGTACATTGTGACAAAAAAGCTCCCGGTAGTTGTAATTAAATGCTAATTGCTAAGTTAGTAGAACTGTCCTTAATTAATATGTAGACATATGAGCGCGATCTGTCAACAGGTTTGTTTACAGCAGCGGGTTAAGTCAGTACACTTCAGTAGTGCATTGCGATTTTTACAATGGATAAAATTATCGAACAAAGAATTTCTTTCAAATTTTGTATTTCTAACAAAATTTCGTGTGAGGAATTCTTACGAATGTAGGAAAGGTTATTTAAAAGCCTTCAAAGACAAGCCTCGTTCTGGACAACCTCCGACCTCTTCAATTGATGAAAATATTATAAATTGAAGGATATGGTGCTTGAAATTCGTCAGACAAGTGTTAGATAGATGTCAACAGAACTCGACATCTCTCGTGAGTCCGTCCGAATGATTTTGGTAGATATACATATTGCGTATGAAACGCGTTCTTCCTCGACTCGTCCCGATAAAGCGCAATGTTTGTTCAAAAAGAGGCACGATTGTGACCGAATTTAAAGCCAAAAACACAAGGAATACCATCTATCAAACACCGAATTATTCAGATTTGGGCCCTCGTGAGTTTTTCTTGCTCTGCAAACTGAAATTGTAACCCGTTTTCAGTCGATCGCAGAGATAAAACAAAATTCGCTGAGCGAGCTGAAGGCCGTCCCAAAAAGTGCTTATGAAAAGTGTTTCGAGGACTGGAAAATCGTTGACATAAGCGTATTACATCCGGTGAGGATTAATTTGAAGGCAACAAAATAGATATTGATGAATAATTAAATAGTTTGCGTTTTATTTACAACTTCTGGTTACTTCTTTCACAATGTATATCTACTTGCCTTTGACAAAAGGTCTCTCCGGTCGACGGGGAAAAAATTGAAAAGTTTTTCGTGGTGAGCTTAACTAATCCCTACGATTCACCTATTATTCGAACTCTTCTACCAATTGAATAAAGTTATTTGGGCCATAAGGTGTACTTGAAACCAAAAAAAAAAAAACAAAAGTTTGGGTTTTTCAAAAGCATAGTCTCTCCAGTCCCTTAATTCAGAAATAATATACATATAAAGTTTTTTTCATGTTTTTGCTTATCAACCTAAAGCAATATATTTAATATTTAAAAGATTTCGCTTCCTTACTTTAATTACTATATTTTTTTACAATATTTCGATAAAATATATGCTGAGTAATTTAGTATGGATGGCTTACGGATATCGAATACTATTTAGTGAAATTTTACAAAAACAAAGCAAAAAATATTTTAAAACAGAATAAAAAATAAAATTCATTTCAAGTTTACTACTTATTTAGTGTACAAAAGCAACTTGCAACAATAGAACATAATGAGTAATTAGTAATCATTACATGCATTTTAAATACAATACATATATATTTGCAGCAAAATTAAAACTATTTAATTGGAAATTAGGAATTCTACTAGCATCTAGCATTTCACTTAGCATTTACTATGTATATGTATGTATATATGTATATAGGATGCATTGAAATTGAATAAACGGAAATCGTTAACTACAATTACTTACAGTACAATTGCCACAGTGGCAATGTAGTGTTAAAAATTTGCTTGTATATATATATGTATGTATGTGTGTGCATAACTAAAACAAATGTTGTTTAGACACAGAAAGAGGCACTTCTATACATAATAACGTTTCCGTTGTCTTTTTAATCTAAAAAAATATAGTTGCACCTTGTTTTCACTGACGAAACTATACATATGTATACAGGCATATAACCTTTTATATACTAAATACATATGTGGTATACATTGTAGAGTTACCAGCGACAAATATGTATACATTGTTTATTTTCTACTTTATACTAAATAATTAAAACTCAATTAAATTATCCAACGGTATAGCGGTGACGTAGTGATTTGTGGTACTAATACATGCAAAAAAAAACTCTCCACACAGCCGGAGATTGCTGATAACATGTATACTGCAGCTTAAAGCCTGGTTGTTGTAATGTTGTTGAGGGCCTCTTGTATATCAACACTAGCATTGGGATCGCTCGCGTACACTTTGATAATGTCTTGGATAGCGCTCATGGAGCCGAAAATGAGTGCGGCCACACCGCAGAAACCAATGATGACATTCTTCCATAGGATCCAGTTGTAGGCACCGAAACCGGTGTCCCAATGCGTGATGAGCTCGATAAAAACCTGCAAGCAATTAATAAAATATGTATTAATAAATATTTGGTTATAGTATACTTAATTGCGTTTCGTGCGTATGCGTGTGCAATTGAATACTTACGGGGAATATGAGACCAAGTATGGAGAAGCAGAAAGCACCAATGAGACCCATAAACGGCGCAATAGTGGGCACGGAAACGGCCAATACAACGGCGGCAGTGACGAGCACGGTTCTAGAATTAAAGAAATATATATTTCAAAAAATTTCAAAAAGTTAACAAAAAATATGCAAAAATTTAAAAACTTTTCATCTTTCAATTAAAAAATATTGCTAATAATAACAAATAATACTTATTTTAAATAAAATAATGTTTTTAATTCCAAAATTAAATTTTTTTATATGCATATATTATAATAACTAATAACTAATGTAAATTAAATATTGTTTTTGACTTCAAAAACAACAATTTTCTGCTATTAAATAAAATAGTTATTCAAAACTTGATTTAAAAATTATTCACAAATAATTATTCATGAATTAATTAATTTACTTACGAAAAAATAATTTATGTTTTTTTAATTAAAAAACAATAAAACAAAATAAGTAACTTGCAAAAAACCATAAAAATCTCAAAACAAGAAAAAATTATTTCCAAAACCTTAAAAAAATATTTCATTTTAATTTATGTAAAATAATATTAAGTACACATCGCAAATTATTTAATTTAAGTGCCAAAACTACTTGTCTTTAAATTAAAATA